TTATGAAAGACATGGAGGTGTCATGCGGTAACACTTCCGGGTTCGGCACTCCACTGTGCAGAGCCGGACCCCGCCCCCCTCTAACGCAGCTCTGACGGTATTTAGGGAGACCGCGCAAGAGAGAGGGTTCTTGGTGATACTGGGAGCTACTTCCGCCAGACTTACCTCTCCAGAGGCTCTGGCAATGTGGGTCCTACTTCCGAGTATGCACACCGGCTCCTGGGACATGCCGGCTCTACAAGCTCTGAAGTCGTCCTAGCCTTCTGGGCTAAGACAAGTATGCTTCATGCCATAGAGGATTACTGGAGAACAGAAACTCACTTACTTTACAAGGGGACCATATCTCTGAACTATTGGAGTACTACTCACATTAACCTTAAGTATAACTTTCAGCTATTTGTGTACAATATCATTTAATAATGAACTAATGCTTGCTTACTAAATCTTCACTGCTTCAAGCTACTAATTATATGGAGGACAACTACCATCATGCTTATTCACAATGAACTGTTTCTTGCTTTGCAAATACACTCAGTGCTTCAAGCTACTAATTATATGGAGGACAACTCCCATCATGCTTATTAACTATGAACTGTTCCAGCTTTGCAAATATTCTCAGCTACTTGCTTAAAGTTACTATTAAAGATTATTCTCATTAACCTAAAGAATGTTACTTAATGCATCTCTGAGCAAATACTTATTAATGAACTTTGTGTTGTTGATTACTTGCACTTCTTCTTATTGGATTATTGCCTAAATGCAATTCATTTAAGTTTAACACTTATTAAAACTTAGTTTGATTCAAGTTACCAGCAATTCTCTCTTTTCTTAAAGCTACAGTATTGATACTTTAAAGATTCTCCGTTTCTTCACTATTGTAATTAGGGAGTTTTACAAGTTGCAGTTGAGTTCCAATCCAAATCACCCAGGTAGCGTAACAGGAGGTGAGTATTGTCCCACCCTATTATTTTTCTCTCATTGTATTCCCCCCCTCCCTGTTGTGTTATCTCTCAGGTTGGTAAGTATTGCACTGAGTTCAGCTTGGTATTGCCATTTATGTGCATCCGTACTGTTGATGTTATGCTGGCCTGGGGGTGGTTTCTCTGGTCTGCCATTAGGGGCACTGTGTAGTTACAGGATATCAATACATTATGTCTCTTGGCATGGACAATTAGTTTTAGTACGGTTGGGCTCCTGTTTTTTATGTTTTCAAAGGTTGATTCTGCGCTGTTGGTGCTGTGTAATGTTCCTCACTTCTTCCCAAGACTTCACCACGTTGGCTGGAGATCTATGGATGGTGCTGTGACGGACTCCCTGTTGTTGACGCTTCGTCATTTGTTGATGGCTCCTGGTGAGTATCCGGCTGTATTTCTGGATGGTTTGTTCTGCTGAGTTCTGGACTGTTCATCGGTTCCTATTTGCTGGTTTGGTGTCGCATCTCCAAAAAAAGAGGAATTGTGTGGGGAGATGCTGACTATTATTCTGGGACTTGGTATGGGAGTGGTCTATCATTATGGTTACCATTTTTTTCTTACTGTTTGTATTCTTTGCTGCTATTGGTGGACAGTAAAGAAAGGGTTAAGCAAAACTCGCCTCTGTGTCTTTCATAAAATCATGACTTTTTGTTATGAAATAGCAAAATCATGTAATTTTCGTAACTACTTAGTTTATTGGGCCCCCCTCAAATAGTAAAATAAAGAGATCTACTCACCTTTAGTCTACTGGCATGTTGCCACCCCCCCCCCCCTCTCCTGTGCTGAGATCATTGTTATAGGTGATCTAAGCCAATCCAGTACTTCCCCTTAGAGAAGAATTGCAAGGTGTGTGTGCATGTGTGGCAATCACCACACTGTGACAATCAGCATCTCCTCATAGAGATACATTGGTTCACTATAACTCCATTTGTAGCGTTCGGCATCTTTACGGAAATGTGATGATGCCAAATGTTGGTCCTGCAGATTTCATGGCCACCACAGGTAACGCCTCTAGTGGTTGTCTCCGTGACAACCACTACAGGTTTGCCTAGGTAGTACTATGTCCTTTTCTTAGAAATACTTTATTTTCTTAGAAAAGGTAGAGTTCACTTTTGTCAGACTGCAAGGACATTCTCTTTGCACCAGAAGTACTACATTAAGCTGTAGAGATTCTGTTGATTAGGACATCATTTAAGGCCAGGGTAACCAAATCCACCATGTTTTCAGGGACACATCATTTTGTCATATTTATGAAAATGCATGAAAAGGGCTGCCCTGCAGTATGTAAAATGCATATTCTGCAGCATTCCTCATTACCTAATTAATTAATCTTAAACACCTTCTTCGGAATTCTGCATACTACAGGGCAACCCTTTTCATGTGCTGCCCATCAATCTGTATATGTGATATGTGCCGCTGAAAACATGGTGGATCTGGTCCTCCTGTTCATGTTCACGCCTGTCTATATTTATATAGACCATCTCACCTCCCCCCGTGTGTCCTAAAAATAAAAGATTATTTTCACCTTTTTCCAGTGCCAAGGTTCTCTTTGTATTGCTGCTTAATTCTCTTCTTCTCACTATGTCTCCAAGAAGACATGGCCTCCAATCCAATGCTACTCAAATATGCCGAATGAACATTTAAGCTTTCCCATAGGAAAGCATTGAACCAATTCCCTACCCTTCTTCCACCGCCCAGACTTTCTGTGGCTGTCCAATCACAGACTTTTCAATACAACTCAAAGAGAAGTGTTTGCAAGGCAGGTGCTCTGAGCAATGGCTGTCTCTTGAGTTTACCTTCACTGAGCTAACCAAACCAGGAAGTAGCAGGACAGGTTGTATGATAGAAATCCAGGGGGGTGTTGTTTGCTTGACAATCAGCTGGTGTAAAAAGGTTAATTTAAAAAGTGACAATTTCTATTTGTGAAGGTGGTCACCATCACTGGGAGCAGAAGATGGACACTTTACATGGGTTTCTGAATGGTTCTTATGTTTCAGTCATCCTGTGCACATTATAGGTACATGGTGTTTATAATGTGATTATTCAGTGTTAAAGGTTTTGTGTGCTCTCCTGGTCTCATAACCAACTAGGTGGATTTGGCTATGGAGAACTATACTGTGCCATCTGTTTGTTGTAAGGATCAGTAAAAAACAGCTATATGCACTACCTGAATAGCAAGGGTTGCTAATTTGCATATTCAGGTAGATTTGCAAACTATGAATTCTGCAAGCTGGAGAGGTATTTTGTGTCAATTATTGTCTCCACCACCCCTTTATAAATATGTTATTATGTTATTATACGTTCTTGTATATTTTCTGATATGATTTTGTTACTTTTGTTTTATTGAAGTTGTCACAGTAATTTTAAATGTAATGAGCCTATTAGGCTAGTCCCGAGTAAAAAAAAAAAAAAAAAAAAAGCTCAGTGTGTAGTTCCTTTTGGAACTGTGTTTCCTGTTTGGATTTGTTCAGATATCCCTGTAACAGAGTTGTCATAACTGTTGGCTGACTACATTGTACCTGTAACCTGGGACAAATAAAAGACAGCTAGACCCGAGAGACACAAGTGCTTTTGTAAAGGCAGTAGCTAGTCACAGTGCAGGCAGAGGTGGGGGTACCTGCCCGAGAGGGGAGCTAAAGAGAAGAAAGGCAGAGGGGACAATACCTGCCTGAAAGAAGAGAACTGCAGCCTGTTGGGGTGAAAGAGTTCGTGAAAGAGTTCCTGAAAGACCCCAGTCAGGCTTTGGTGACTGGGTCTGAAGCATTTCAGGGTCCCTGATCCTGACTAGAAAGCGGACTGGGCGGAGGTACTCGGTCGGAGTACCAGAACTCTGTCACACTATTGAAATCTGCACTTTTTGTAAAATGAAAATAGAGGACACATTCCTCAAACATAAAGCATCTCAGGAAGCTAAACTGCTCTAGGGATCCAGTTTCCCTGTAAAAGGACACGAGTACTGCAGGACAGGACATCAGAGGGTCTTTAAAGTTACTTTGAATTAATGGGCTACTCCAACCACCATTACCACTTCTGCTTAAAAGTTGTATGGTGGTAGTAGTCAGTAAACACTGCACATACTGAGCTATTGGCATTTGTTTACTGAGGGCTAGTTGCACCTCCGGCACACATGACTGCGGCTGCCCATTACTTTGGACTGCCTGATATCAATTCTGTGCATAAAATAAGTTGGCCATCAGCTTAACCCTCTATCTCTCCCTCCCTTTTTGTGTGTAGCCTTCCCACCGACCCAATCAGCTCAGTTTTTTTCCCCTTTTCCTTCCCCACTCTCTCTCTCCGCTTGCTCACTCTGAACTGTTAAATGGTCCAATCGAAGGCTTCTCTATGAAGTCATTGATTGGAGTTCGCATGGCTGCTTTGACATCAGAAGGGGGCGTAGAAAGCCTTTCTGGGAGCATCACCGGGTGCTGGATTCCAGGTAACACATTTTTTTTAGTTATAGGGGGAAGGGACCTAAAACATAATGCCCAATAGGGCATTCTTCATTAAAAAAAAAAATGATATATTAAAAGGTGTTGGAACAATCCTTTATTAACAATTCACAATAACTAGTTTCCTATTCACCACAATTAATTGATTGGCGTGTTGACCCCCAGTGATACTTATACTATAATTAGTTATATAGCAATGGAAAATTGTTCATTAAACTAAACTGAATGAAAACTTCAAACGTGTAAATATTTATAGTTTTTCCAAATCAGCCACTGTTGCCTACATTTTGCATTTCAGTTTTCAATTTCCAATAAGTCGTTTTTTAGTAACCCCCCCGCCCTACCCCCACCAGACTTGTTAACTAACACTTCTGCTCTTTGTCACCAAAAAAGTAAAAGAACTCCAGGACTTGTCAGAGCTATTTGTATCTATTTGATTCCTCCTGGTTCTAGAATGTGATTTATTGCTGAGATTCTGCAGACAGAGGAAGAGAGAAGACATTGCCTTGTTGCTCCCTCCAGGATAAAGAAGCCTTGTGATTGGCTGCGGGAGGCTGGGATGGGGAGTGAGCGGAGCTGCTGATTGGCTGCCGGGTCGCCCCTGTGTCCGCACTGTTAGGGAGCTGGAGATGCTGAGCCGCACAGCTTACCCCGAGCCAGAGGCGGCGGAGCTCAGCTGGGAGCGAGGCGGATAGGGGCGGACAGCCCGGGCAGTGACCTGCAGGGACCAGCCAGACCCCCACAATGGACACGGACTCAGGGGACCTCAGCGAGGGGGAACTCTCCCCAGGTAATGGGAACAAGTTCAGCCTGACCCCGCTATCCCCAAATCACACTTACTGTATGGGGAGAGGGGGCTGTATCTTTATATTATTACACATTATTTTATATTTCACATTCACTTTGCTCTTATTTATTCATTTTAAGCCAGTACATATTTTGACAGTGTTTTTTTTTTTTTTTTAATGGTGGATTACAACTCCCATCAGGCACCCCTAGATAGCCACCAGTTGATTGTCCCTCCTGTGTGATGTGAAATCCCTGTTGCTGTTCTTTGATTTTTATTATTTTATGTCATTTCGTCATTTACCTATTGCTGCAAGTCTTAATTGTCTGCAGTTTGCCTTAATTACAATACTGTTCCCAATCCCCACTCCTCTGCAGCTTTATATTAACCCATGGACGACCACAGATTAAGCAAAATTCCTTTATATCCGAATTGTCTTATTCTGCCATGATCGTTAAGGGGTTAAATATCTTAAATCTGCATCAGATGTCAACTGTACATTTATATCCTAATAATAATCATTTAATTTTTTCAATATTATTATTATTTTTTTAATTGTAAGTAAAATGTATTTGGTCTGTAGCATAACAAAATACAAGAGTCTGTGATATACAAGCAAAATAAATGTTTGACTGTTTCATCACAAGACAGATAATTTAACCTTCTGAGTGCCCAAAATTATTTCATGTCCTCCTACAGTTTGGAAGGCTATTTATATCAGAAAATGTTTTCTTCTTCAGTGATGGCTTAACCCTCTGGCACTCCTGATGTTGTAGTCTGTACACCCTTTTATGGCTGGCAGAGCATTATGTGAAGTGTAGTTCAAATGATCAGGAATTCTGGAGGTTAAGCCATCACTTCCCTGCAGAGTATTATTGATTTTTATGCAGTCCATATGGCAACCCTGGACAAATAATACATTGCAGGTTGTTCTGCTGTCATGTAAGGTAGGGTAGCCTGGAGCTATTGCTTAAGGTTACTCTCATTATTTGGATTCTCTATATGTTTTGCTCAGCACAGCAGTCAGATAAAATACCATACCACAACAGCCATTACATTTACATCTTCACATTGAGGTCATCAAGGTATGTATGGCTTAGCATAATGAGAGTATTAGTCCAAAGCAGACAGAAATTTCCTTTTCCTGATATAGCTGTTAACTGGAAGTCAAACTATTTTTCCACGCTCATTCCAAGGGTGTGAATGTTAGAGGAAAGCCAGATCTCAACTTTTTTTTTTTTTTTTAATATTGGTGACTTGATCCAGGTTTCACGAACATTTCTGTTATGATCTCTTTTATAGTATGATGGCGTTCTGTCCTATGTGTTCCCATTTGTTTTCTGCGGTGCCACACTTGGGGCAAGATTGTGGGTCATTTTAAACCATGCAGTTATGATGACGTTTCTGGAAATACGTTATACAGAGCAGAGCGGTGGGTAGTACATTTTTATATTTATTTTATTGAAAGGAAAATGGTGCAGTGAGGTGCAATAATCAGAGAACTGTGAGTCCTAGTGGGGTGGGGGTGGGTATCAAGGCTCGTTGTATCCGTACTATTGTTTTAAAAACTTCCATAAACTCTGAGCTCTTTTAAAGCAGCTATTTCGCATCAAAAATGTTACTCGAAAATCTATCCTAACCGATATTATCCACGAGGCATGCATACTATCTAACATTCATTGTATGTGAGTAATACTGTGGGTAATCTGACTTAAAAAAAAAAAAAACTTATCTTTTTCACACTGTCTGAATGCACAATATCTACATTTATTTTACCATTTATCTGTGTGTCCTATCTTTCTATCATTCCCTTCTATGGCATTTTTTTTTTCCTCCCCATTTTTCAAATGAGTTCTGTTTCTGTGTACTTTATCCTTTCACGCTACATGCTGTGCAGTACTCCATACTGCCCTATTTCTGCACAGTCTTTCATAATTAACTCTGAACTTCACACCTATTGACGCCTCTGTTTCAAACCTCCAGTGTGTGAAGGTTTTGCACTGAACTCTCACCAAACCAGGAAGTGACTGAGCCAATCGTAATGCTCTCCTTCCACCCACCTCATAAGAGGTGAACATATCCCATAAACCCCTCTCCAAATTTGGAAGCAATTCCCCCAGCTTACTGATAACTCAAATCACAGTTTAACAAATTGAGCATTAGATTACATTTTATGACGCTGAATTGTGTGCAGCAACTGCTCTTGCTCCTTGTCAGTAAGTTGCGAAGGAGCCTGACAGAAGATGTGGAGACTTGTACAGTGTGCTCTCACTATTCACGTCTCCACAAGTACTTGGACGGATGGGGAGAGCATAAACTTCCTCCTGTGATGTATGCTGGTGTGGGGGAGGGAGCTTATAGTGTCCATGATGGTTTTATATCACTAGAGTAATAAGCAAATATGCACAAGCCCACTATGACCAGGAGCATCCTTGCAACATAAACTTTGTAAGAACTTAGTTGTAATGAATCTTGAAGTGTCCTTTTAATTATCGATTATTTTTAGACTTAGAACTTGGAAATGTCTCCATCTCTTGGATTTGTCAAGATACCCATCATTTGTGGCATCATTTTCACAAACACGAGTCATTTCAACAGGAAATTATCTGACTTGTACCAATTCTTCTGCAGGAAATATCAGACATGGAGCATCACTATTGGCCACTTTACTTCGCTACTTTCTGTGTAGTTCATGTTCTACCTATTGACCTTTTCACTTCTGAGACTTACAAGTCCAAATTGGTTTCTTGCTTTTTTAACATATTAGGTGAAGTTCCTTGTCCTTATCTTACAGAACAATGGATTGCCCACTAGCCTTAGTCCTGATATTTAAAATTTTTCTCTCAAACGTTTAAAGACAAAATTCCTCTCTCCAGAACCATCTGTGTTATCTGGTCTTCACTCATTCCCCTTATTCTGAAACCTTCTCATTTCCTGTAGTTGGATTGACATTGATAAACTTCTGTATTTCTATGGCATTTAAACATGTATTTTCACAGCAGTCAGTCTAACGTTTTTATAGACTTGTTACTTGTATGAACTTTTATTCTGTGGTTTAGCCTTGGTTCATCTGACCTTGTTCAGCCTCTGTGTCCTAGTTTCTCTGTTTAACTCATTTGATGGCATGTGCAGCTACAACAGGACAAATCCCTAGGTCAGCATTGGTGACATACAAATTGAACCTGCAAATAGAATGCATTCCTTCTAGTCAGAGGAAATCAAAGATGGGGAGGGGCGGGGAAACCCTATAGTTTGAAAGGGAGTGGACATTTTTTAGTGCTCTGTTAGCAAAGACCAGTTGACGACCTTGCACTTACTCACATGCTTTCGGCATTGTGGATCAGTATGCTATGTATGAGAGTATGTGCAAGGCTTACGCTACCTCTGCAGAGACTGTCCTGTCCTCCCTCAAGACACCACAGGCTGGTTCAGACACACTAACACACTCTCCTCAGGTGTGTGTGTTTGTCTGTGTACACAACTATATACCCTGTTTGCAGATGTTGGTAATTGTGTGTGTGTTTGGCTCGTTATGTATGAATAGGAGTGATTGACTATTTTGTGTGTGGCTGAAAAAATGTAAAAAAAGAAAAAAATTTGTATATTATTCTTACCTTTTTTCCAGCAGCCAGTGTCTAACTGCTGCTCAGCTCCACCCCTAGGAAAATGTCAGTGACAACAGACCATCTCCTCCTGTTGTGACTTAAATTGGCGGATGTGCAACCGTTGCCACAAATGCACCAATGAAATGTGGTGATCACCTAATAGAGTTCTTCTTATTTGGTCTTCAAAGAAATGCCCCTGACGCATGACATGTGCAAGTGTTCCAGACGGGAGTACATTTCCCATGATCCTCAGCTAGCTTTTAGAGTCTAAAAGCTAGCTTAGCATTATGGGAAATGTAGTCCAGAAACAATGTATGGTGTCAAGGTTAGCCATCACTGTATTAGACTAATGCTTCCCTTTGGAAGCTCTAACTTCGATGACTTAAACAGAGTGAACGGAAAAGCGTTCCTGGCCGTCAGTGTGATTGCCAGGTATGTTTGAAATTGGCACTATTATTATTATTATTATTATTATTATTATTATTTTGTTTTATATAGCGCCAACAATTTCCGCAGCACTTTACAGTGGGTGGACGAACAAACATGTAGTTGTAACCAGACAAGTTGGACACACAGGAAAAGAGGGGTTGAGGGCCCTGTCAATTAGCTTACATGCTAGAGGGAGTGGGGTAAAGTGACACAAAAGGTAAGGATAGTATTAGACTAATGACAGTGGCAAGAGAGGAATTAGTCGGGAGCTATTAAAAGTTTAATTGATACGCTTTTATGAAGTAGTGGATTTTTAATGATTTTTTTGAAGGAGTGGAGACTGGTTGAGCATCTAACGGAGGAGGGAAGTGAGTTCTACAGGAATGGTGCTGCCCTCGAGAAGTCTTGAAGAAGAGCATCAGAGGTGGGAGTACGGACAGAAGATAGACGTAAGTCTTCAGCAGAGCGTATGGGTCTAGACGGGACATACTTGTGTATTAGGAAGGATAGATCGGTGGGAGCAGCATTATGTAGAGATTGAAAGCAAGAACCAGAATTTTAAATTGAGCCCTATATCTTACAGGAAGCCAATGTAGGGACTGACAGAAGGGTTAAGCGTGGGAGGAGTGGTCAGACAGGAAGATGAGCCTCGCCGCCGCATTCTTTATGGACTGTAACGGCGCAAGTTGGGAGCACGTAATACCACTGAGAAGTGGATTACAGTAGTCAAGGCGAGAATCGACAGTGGAATAGACCAATACCTTAGTCGCATCTGGCGTTAAGTAGGGTCAGATGTGCGCAATGTTTTTGAGATGGAAGCGGCAGGATTTGGCAATAGACTGAACATGAGGCATGAATGGGAACCAACTGAAGTGATTTATGGATTTGGAATGTCTGTTAACTAGATATTTGAAAGAGAGGGTAGCTAATGAGGTATTTGAATATGGCTTACAAGTTTGTACGTGTCAGTTCTTAAAATAACGTTCTTAGGTTTTTCCTTTTTGGTCCGCAACGTCCGTCCTTGTGTCCTAAACTCTGGGGAATTTTATCAAGTCATCAACTACAGATAATCTCAAATTTTTGAGATGTTCAAAAATGTACCTGCCAATAGTGTTTCTGTTTTTTATAAACCTTGTCCCTTTCCTTGTGGGATGAAAATTAGGGTTCAGATCTATTTATCCCTCTGAATCTCCATCTTTCTATATTTTCAAGCCATGCCAGCATCAGGTACCAGCAGTTGTTGTGCATTTCTGATGTGTGGATGACACCATGAGATGTCTGACATCTGTCAACAACAAAAAAATGAAAACATGTGATTTCATAATTTGAATAAAAAAATGTTAAATCCCCTTTGAGTTCAATCATGATACTGATAATAAATGTTCATATCTGGGGTGGCTACAAAATATACCCCCAGCAATTTCTGAGTTACATTCTTGTAATTGTAACTCTTCACCATATGGGA